ATTAGAAAGTTACCAATAAAAACTACAAATGATTTTATTGTTGATTCAAAAAAAAGAATAAAAAAAAGAATAAAAAAAAGAATAAATAAAAAAATAAAAAAAAAACCTTAAGATTGCAGGAAAAAAATCATACTATCCAAATTTAGACAATATAACTAACAATTTTATAAAAGTGAACTTTTATTTTTTTTACCTTTCTTTTTTGAAGACATCTTTTATTTTTTATCAGTTACATGCTCCTTCTTACAATGTTATGAAGGACTAGATTATAGAAAAGAATATTTTTCTTGTAATTTTATCACAAGATCTAAACAGTATTATGTAAAAATAAAATAAAATGCTCAAGTCTCTGCATTTCATAAAATTAGATTTGTTTTTCTGACAAGTTTTTACATTAAACTCTTTACATATTTATATAAATTTGTAAACAAGTGTAGATATTCATCTGCATGAGAAGCCACAGTTATATCTTAAAAATGAAACAGTAATTAATAAAATAGTTATTCCTGATATTTCTTAGATCATGTACCGATTTATTTAATCTGGTGTCTTTAACTGTCATATGAGCTGTTCTATCCTCTACAGGTGCCTGTTATTATCAGTAACATTACTGAAATTCTGAACAGAGCTTTTTATTCAATCCCCTGGGTTAATATCTACTACAAGGATGTGGCGGACATGAGACAGAACCTGGGACGAGCACAACTGGTCGCGACTTGCCTTGTCCCCGCCAAAAAAGAGCCCGTATTTGCTTAGCATGTAAAGCTACTGCAGTTGAAATGAGGGAGAAAAAAAGCACTTACCGCTCTGCCGTAATCCGTCCTCGGCCAGATAACGTAAAAGAATGAGGGGGGACTTGCATTGCATTTTTATGCAATAAAGATGCAATGCATTATGGGACATGGACACAATGAATTATGGGATCACATGAAGATGCAAGAGATTATATAAACTGTGTCAATGGATCAGCAAAAATAGTATCACAAGTGCAAATTAAGTAATTGGTGAATCTCTGGAATAGACAATGGAATGAGTCAATTTTACTCTGGTAAAGTGAATAAAGGGTTTAGTTTGAAATTCTGGGAATATCGCTAATATGATAGGTTTCTGAAAAAAAAAAAAAAAAAAAAAAGAAAAGCTGAAGGGTAAAATGCTAGAGATATTACAACAAAAACGAGAACACTAATTTGAACAAGTCTTTTGTGGAGAGAGTAGCTATCACTAAATAAGTGACAGAACTAAGAATTGGTGTGGCACACAAAAACAAGTTCAGACAAGTGAGCATAGTGTTCTGACTTCAAGACAGACCACGACTGATGTTATTTACATCACCTCTCAAGGCAGGATGTGGCACAAGGCCTTTTTTATGTGGGGCAAATCCAAGACTGTAGGTTTGGGCAAAAATTCCCTGTAGACCCCACAGACATTGAGTCCGGCTTGTCTACCTCCCCAGACATGGGCATAGCCTCATCTGGGTTCCTCTGCCCAAACCACCTTAATCAGCAGATCTGGACTTGATGAAACAGAACTAGCCTATTTTATTGGTTAGGAAAAAATCCCAGCATGTCTGTGTGCTTCTGGGAAAGTATTTTGCAGTCATTCTCAATGGAGATTGCATTTGAACTTTTTATGTCATAGGTGTGTTTGTAAGTTTCCCTGTGGATATGTGGTATATGTTGGATTGAATGGTGATGGATGAGTTCTTGTGGTGAAGGAGTAAATTGGATAAATGGGTCATGAATCTGATTAGTTAGGTTTAGGAAAGTTAGTGTAGCACAGCCTTACCCCGCTTCCCCTTCGGCCTTGTGCCAAAATTGTTCTTTTTTGATCAATAAATCATTCGTAGTGGAGAGTGGAATCAACATTTTTTTTAATGGCATGTCTGTGTCTTCTCGGGAAAGATAGTTGTGTAGCAGACCCGGTAGCATGCAGTGCTGGCCTACGAAAAGGTGGCCTTGTGCCAGACACTACTCATGACTACCGAATTCACTAGCAAAGAAAAAAAAAAAAAATAAGTGAAAATAATAAATGTGTGATCTTTTGACCGTAGAATTATTAGTCTCCTTAGTAAGGAAAAAGGGTCATTCAACACATGCATAAAAAGGTAAAAAAATAGGTAGCCAGGAGGAACGACGAAAACGAGTCTGGTGGAAAACAAACAAAACTTTATTTAATAAAAAGTATTTTGTCTCAAACAGTGGAGACTATCAGAAAAGTAAAGCTAGTTCTTAGCAAGTAGGCAAGTTGTATAAGGTAGTGACAAGTAGTCAGTAAAAGAATGTTAATGTTCTACACCAAAACGAAAATCAAAATGGCTAAGGTGGGAAAGGTTCCCTCAGAAGGAAAATTCTGGAACAGAGTCTTATGCAAAAGGTATATGCCTACACAACAAGGAAAATACTCACTGTGAGATTTTTGTCATGTGTGTGTAATGTTATTTTTTTTTCCTTTCTTTTTAAACTGGTTCATAAGGTTAGAGTTCAAAAGGTGTATGAAGTTTATCAATTATCCGTGTCGAAAACTCTACGTTCCCTGGTAGTGAACGGAGGAAAGTTTGAACAAGTTGTTCGCATCAGGATGAGGAATTAGTCATTGTAAAAGTGTGATGGCGACGGTGTCGTAAACTCTACGTTCTCTGGTAGAAAATGGAGGAAAGTTCAAACAAGTTGTTCACAGAAAGTTGCAACCACATGAAGAGATTCGGCATGATGAGCCAAGGAGTTTACTAGGAAGTTTTTTGTAGTTAAGATATTTTGGCCCGCATATGGGTAAGGGGCGCGAAATAAATGAGTCGACCTTTTTGCTCGGAGACCAGGCAGCGACTGATTTGAAAAACACCGTTCGTCAGTGACATCAGAGAATGCACGGGAAAACTTCAAATTCTGTTCTAGCTTGAATCAGCAGCAGCCAGCAACTTCCTCGCACTACTATATCTAGCTGAATGTGAAAGGAAGGGGTGCAATACGCGCGCGCATGTAAAAGTAGATGGAATCCCTGCATGGTTCCACAGTTGGAGAGGTTTCAATTTGCCTTCTCCAATTTTGAATTTTCCCTTCTAGACTGACTGCCACTGAAAAAGAAGAAGCCCAGTGAAATCAGTGATTTTACACATAACTGAGAGCACCTGTGCCTTTCCCAAAAAGGTATTTGTAAAGAGTGAACACAACTGACAGGAATTGGAACTTGGCTCATCACTGGACATGCATTAATACCAAAACTTTTACTCAATTCAATCTTGAAATTACATATCAGGAACTTGAAAATTAAGATAAAATATCCTATGCCACTGGTGCTTTCTATGTCATACAGCAGCATTTATGCTATCTTAGTCACAGACAACCTAACAGAAATCATACTATAGATACCTTCATTCATTTTGATCAAAAGTAAAATAGAAACATTTACTCTCAAAACCTCTAACAAGGAGCTAATCAATTTTAAAGATGCTTCAAAAATTGTACTGCTCCAGAACACCCCTAACTTCTGCCATGATGTATCTTTATAAGATTAAAGACTAAAAAATAGAGCATTGCTGCCATGCTTCACTTTCCAGCCTCGAGTTCAAAATCGTTTAAACAGTCTTGTTAAAGATAAGTTATTTTCCAATATACAGTATCTTTCCTAACAAATAAAATGTTGTAAGGCCATCATGACTTGATATTTCCATGGAAAGTGTTTAGATGAGCTTCCTTCTTTAGTTCCACCAGTTCAGACATTTATAGCTTGGACCTGTCATGCTATGAACACAGAGTTGAAGCATACTCATTTCTATTGTATTCCATTTGTAAGGAGGAAAATCCACTCAACTTCCCCACCAATGAGAACTCCTACTTTCTGGAACAAACTCCCATGTAGATACTTCCCTGAACACTATAATCTTAACTTCTTCAAGTCAAGGGTCAGTCTATCTATCCTCCTTATCCCTATAATCTTTGCTTCCTGCCACCCTCTCTTAAATTCATAACACACCTCATTTAGTAACCCTTTGCCTTGAGTAGCTTTCAATCATAGTATTAGGTGAACTTTAGAGCATGTCTGTGTATATAAGATGTGGGGAAAAATTGTGAAAATGGCCTACCTCGGAAACGCCTGTGAATCTGTGCAGTGTGCAGACTCCAGTTTGCTACCGGTAAAAGGAACCAAAATGGCGGCGCCCATATTTTATGCCGAGCAGTCTCGGTTAGTTAACGCAAAATGTCGTTGTCTCGTCATTCGCATGCAAATCATGGTCGGGCCTCGGCTGTATAAAGCAGGCGCATTTTGCTGTTTGGGATCAGAGGGCTTTTGGCTCGTGAGAAGGTTGGACGTGTGACACCGGGTTTTTTCGGTTACCCTCCTCATGGTTTTTTTGTTCCTACCTGCTATTATCAGTTGAGTTGTTGTGTTACCCCCCCACAAGCTATTTCGGCGATGGACAAGTTCGATCTAAAATTGATCCCAGAATTCGACAGCTCCCCCACGAGCCCGACTGTTGTCGAATGGTTTGAAAAGGCCGAACGTGTTTGCAGGGTGTCTAAAATAAAGGAATCTGCACTGGTCATTCCACTGAGACTCATGGGGGGAGCCTACGCCATATATCAACAACTCGGGGATGATGCTGACCTAGAAGAGATCAAGGGTACCCTTTATACGGCCTTTGGAAAAGACCCCTTCATCACTTGGAAACAGTTCGTCGGATGACGGCTCGAGCTGGGTGAGACTGTGAATGTCTACCTGGCTGATTTGCGAAGGCTGGCAGTACCGTTTGGCGGAGCAATGGACCGCATACTGGGATGCGCCTTCCTGGCAGGACGTCCTGACGACACCAGTCGGCTCCTGCGAGTGTCTTCAAGATTGGACACACTGGGAATTGACGAATTGCTAGCCAGGGCCCGAAACATCTTGAAAGACACGGAACAGGTCGCGGCAGCCGTGAGAATGCCCGAGACACCGCGGGAGGGCCCAAAGTGCTGTTGACCCAACCATTTCTCTAGGGACTGCCGGAGCTGAAGTGACGTAGGATGCGGGAGCAGCCGATGGAACCGAGCACGACTACACTGCTATCACTGCAAAGAGTTAGGCCATGTAGCAAAGGATTGCTCGGGAAAGGAGTCCGGGGACAAGGTGCTGTTGCAACCCTTGCCCCCTCTCGATCAGTAAATGTGGCATTGCCTGTTGTCAACGTGTGCGTTGAGGGTAAACGATGTTCGGCGCTTATTGACACTGGATGTTCCCGATCGATCGTTAGTGTGGATCGATGCGTGACATGGAGCAATCAACAAATCGAGATTCGGACGATTGATGGAGTGTCCCAGGCCTGTTGTGGTGTCGGGACTGTATCAATCCTCACAGACGGAGGGAATCATGCCAAGGTTGACGTTTTGGTGGCACGTCAAAGGCCTCTCGGTTACGACCTGCTGCTTAGCATTGATGCGATCCGAGCGTTAGGAGGCATGATAATCACGCCAGCCGGAAATGTGAAACTGGGTAAAGGAAGAAAGGTGTGTGCAGCCCTTTGCATTAGTGAGCGGATTTTCGACGTCTCTTTCAATTCCGACGAAAGGGTGTGGACCGCCAGGTGGAAATGGGCCCAAAAAGACCCACCAGTTCAGCTTCACAACAAGGTCGCAGAGTACAAAGTTCCCAACAGCATCAGAGGAAAATACTAGAAAGAGCTTCAACAGTGGATTGTGAACGGCTGGTTGATTCCTAACCCCCAGGAAAGACTGGGACCGCCAAATGGCAGTCGTGCAGGAGCAGAAACAGAAGGTGCATCCGGTACTCGATTACCGCGAATTGAACGACTTTGTAGATGCTTTTGCTGCCGACGCAGAAGTGTGTACACATAAGTTGAGAACGTGGCGGTGGCAGTGGTTCAATGTGTCGCTTCTGGATCTGCGGAGAGTATATCTTCAGATTCACATCGACGAAGTGCTGTGGCCATTTCAAATGGTTATTTTCAAAGACCAATGCTTCTGTCTTACGCGGCTAGGATTTGGGCTAAATGTAGCGCCACTCATTATGAAATCCGTTATAGATGCCATCACATCGCAAGACCACACAATTGAAAGTGCCACATCAGCATACGTTGATGATATCTTCATTAATGAAAGTTTGGCCTCTGCATCGCGTGTAAGACAACACTTTTCGAATTACGGTTTGGTGTACAAGGATCCGGTGCGACCGAGAGATGGAGCAAGAGTTCTTGGCTTGCAAGTCTGGGAAGAAAATGGCACCCTCCGATGGAAACGAGGAAGTCGAATTCTGGAAGTCCCTGATGTGTTGACCCAGCGGCACATATTTTCATTGTGTGCGAAACTTGTTGGACATTTCACCGTGTGTGGATGGCTCAGGGTGGCAGTTGCATTCGTCAAGCGCCTGGCAACCGCAGCAACCAATGGATGGGATGATAACATCAAAGATCCCTCTCTCTGTCGCATACTAGCGAAGATGTTAAGTAGAGTGCGGGAACTGGATCCCATTGGAGGAGACTGGTGCATGAGTGGTGACGAGATCACAGTCTGGGTGGATGCGAGTTCTGTGGTGATAGGAGTGGCATTAGAAGCAAACGGAAATGTCATCAAAGATGTGTGTTGGCTGTGTCCGACTAATGATGCCAGGCATATTAATTTAGCTAAACTCGATGCGGCGCTTAAAGGAGTGAATCTAGTTCTCCAGTGGGAGGCGACAACATTGCACTTGGTTTCTGATTCGGCATGTGTGCACCGGTGGATTTCAGACACCTTGACCAGGAAGGCACGGGTGAACACAAGGGCGTCTGGCAAGATGCTGGTTAGGCGACGGCTGGGCATTTTGCGATCGCTGGTGGAAGAATATGGATTGACCATAAACGTGACACTCATACAGTCCTGTCAGAACCGTGCGGATCGCCTCACCAGAGTACCGCACAGGTGGCTAGAACTGCTCAAGAGAGGAGAACCGGCGCTTGAGAGCTGTGCAGTGGTAGGGAGACGACTGGATGAGGACCAGGTGGCCAATATCCATCGTCAAAGCGGACATCCGGGCATGAAACAAACTGTACTTCGCCAGGTTAGTCGACCTGCAGGTGTCCAGAGAAAGCGTTAAATCCGTTGTGAAGGCCTGCACAACCTGTCAGTCGATCGATCCGGCACCCGTTCACTGGGAAAGAGGAGAACTGAGCGTGAAGAGCAACTGGAGCAGACTAGCGATGGACATAACTCACTAAAATGGTGAGAATTTTTTAACGCTTATTGATTGCGGTCCCTCCAGGTTTGCGGCATGGCGGCCGCAGCGCAGACAAGATGCAAGCACCGTCATTCGACTGTTGGAGAATGTTTTCCTGGAGCGAGGCCCACCCATGGAAATACTGACCAACAACGATACTGCATTCACCAGTAGGGACTTTAAAAAATTTGCGGACAATTGGGACGTGCATCTGCGGTTTCGATGTGCCTACACACCGAGTGGAAACAGCATCGTAGAGCGAAACCACAGAACCGTCAAGACCATCGCAGCCAGGAAGGGCTGTACAGTATCGGAGGCGGTTTACTGGTATAATGTCGCCCCGAAAGATGACGTTTCACCATCCACAGTGCCGGCTGATGCACTACATAAATATCATGTCCGAGTGAAAGAAAGGCATCGAAGCCAACCCGCTGCCTGAACTAGAAGTGACTGGAGGGAGATTGAAAAAAAGGAGATGTTGTTTGGGTCAAAAACCCACGCTGCAAGTGTACAATAAAATACGGCACTGGACGTGTTACGGAGGTGATCAGCCCGCAATCTGTGAGAGTTGATGGGGTGCTTCATCACATTAAAGACTTGCGACTGGTGATGCAATCACTACCATTACTGAGCAATGAAAGCGATTCAGAGTCTGAGAGTAGTGAGCGTTCGATCTGCTTGGAGTTAGACCTGCAGGGCAGTGATTCTGATAACAGCAGCCTCACGGCGGACACAGTGTTTACCGACACTCAAACCACAGACGAGAACATGCATGAGGATGAAGCATGTGTTGTCCCCCTTCGGATGGGGACTCAACGGCGACGATCGCCACCTCCTTGCCCTGTTTGTGATCATGAGATCAGGGGGGAGTGTGGGAAAAATTGTGAAAATGGCCTACCTCAGAAACGCCTGTGAATCTGTGCAGTGTGCAGACTCCAGTTTGCTAGCGGTAAAAGGAACCAAAATGGCAGCACCCATATTTTATGCCAGGCAGTCTCAGTTAACGCGAAATCTTGTTGTCTCATCATTTGCATGCAAATCGTGGTCGGGCCTCGGCTGTATAAAGCAGGCGCATTTTGCTGTTTGGGATCAGAGGGCTTTTGGCTCGTGAGAAGGTTAGACGTGTGACACTGGGTTTTTTTGGTTACCCTCATGGTTTTTTTGTTCCTACCTGCTATTATCAGTTGAGTTGTTGTGTTACCCCCACATAAGAAAAACATTTTTGAAAAACACAGGACTCCTTTCCTCATAACAAGAATTATCTTATATTTAAAAAGTTGAAAAAAAAAGAACATTAACAAAAGTCAGCTCAAAAAGGTTTAAGGAATTTCAATTAGAGAAAAACAAACTCAAAAAAAATATAAGGAAATACTGAATATTTAACTTAGAAGCAGGTATTAGAAGTTAATTAAATCTATTTATAGATATTGCATTTGTGTGTTCGTTTTCCAAAATTTAGCCAAAAGGCTCAGCATCACATTTTTGGTTAGGAGCTTTTTGATCACAATAAGAACTCTTCAGCACTTTTTCATATCCACTTTGACCTTATGCAAAAGGTGCTAGGGAAGCAACACTGATCTGAGGTAAAAGCGCCAAGCCATAATATTTTACGGTATGAAGATAAACTACATTGGAAAATTGCTGGTTTCGAGCAGTGTGCAAACACCTCTTAATTGCTGCTGTTCTCAGTTCAACTCAGACATGGAGTGGTAGCACCTGTTAGGATCACAACTATGGCCAAATGGTGAACCTCCAAACAAAAAATACTTCAAAAGTTTGTGAATACATTTTGTAGCAAAATGACCAGTAATACACTATCTGTAGTTGAAACCATAAAATTGTGTTTAAAATATTTAGATTCCTGCATTGCTAAACAAAATCAAGTACAACCATTATTTTTTATGAGTATTGTGCTAGTATCTCATAAAACACACCCAATCTAAATGACAAAGAACAAATATGAATTTAGAATTAACAGAGATAAAATAATTCTCTTCTGATGACTTGTTTTCATATACGACACTATATACAGATGTGGCGGACATGAGATAGAACCTGGGACGAGCACAACTTGCCTTGTCCCCGCCAAAAAAGAGCCCGTATTTGCTTAGCATGTAAAGCTACTGCAGTTGAAATGAGGGAGAGAAAAAAAGCACTTACCGCAATCCATCCTCGGCCAGATAACGTAAAAGAACGAGAGGGGACTGGCATTGCATTTTTATGCAATAACGATGCAATGCATTATGGGACATGGACGCAATGAATTATGGGATCACATGAAGATGCAAGGGATTATGGGTATATGAACAACTATAAAAGCAACTACTTTTTTCCGAGTCGGGGAGTTCTTCGAGGGACGTTCACGGTTGACGGCGAGAACGGGCAGTTAGTGTGATTTTGAGACAGAACTCAAGAAGGAACAAATCAAGGTTGAAATACCAGCTGGGAGAGCTTGAATTTACTCGCTGGTTACTGTTTTCTTTATTCGCCTCAACAGATAATGGCAAAGAGATAATTTTATGTGTTTAGACTAAATTTTACAATAGATGCAATCATTAATACTTGATTTGAAATTTAAATTTGGATAAGAGAAGCATATTTTCTTTCTTGCACACAAAAATGGGATACATTACTTGGGGAGTGGCAGGAATAAAATCCAAGTAGAAAATAAAAATTAAATATGAAGACTATTAGATTTACTGGTAAGAAAACAAGTGGAAGGTGATAAACCTTAGATCATCAATATTTTATATGGTTGTTAACAACAGGAACAAACCCAAAAGGTGCAAACTATGAATTGGAGATATCAAGCAAGAACAGAAAATTAACTGGAAATTAAAGGACAGAAAAATGTAACAAATCCTATTGGAATAGCAAAAGATGTCTTCCAAAAGCTAAGCAAAATATTAAGAAACAGAAAAATTTCATTCTCCTTATTTTATGTACAGCATCCATTCAGGGCAGGAGTGATTATGACTCACCACATTTTCCTATCCTTTGTAAGTCTTGGTGAGTTTTGTCTTTTCACTATTTCTCCCTGTTCTACCAATCACTTACACAAGCTTGTTAGGTAGGTTATGTGCTGCTTTACTGTGTCCCTCTTTCCTTTAATATGCCATGTGAGTGTCAAATTTTCTAAGCCCTCTTTCCTCATTATGCATCCTAAAAATTTCAATTATCTTAAATTCCCTTTTTGTTTCCATTTTCTCTAAAACTGTCATTGTTTACATGTTCAATTCATGGAATTTTCAACATCCTTCTGTAGAACCAT